GCTACAAAATAATAATAGTGACAATAATAAGGACAACCCTACAGGAGATGATACAGTAGAGCGGTACTAGACCCAGAAAACCTGTGTTTATAGTCTCAGGCCCACTACTTATGAGCTGTATGACTTTGGGCAAGTTAAGTATCCTGTCTGTGCTTTTATTTAAAAATCATAAAATAGAGGTAATAATATCTATGTCACAGAGATGTTGTAGAAATTACATGAGTGTGAAAAACTACCTGATACATGGCAAGTGTTCAGTAAATGTTAGCTATTATTATTAAAAGCTGTTGAAGATGGATCATAGGATAATGTTACATGTTTTACTAAGTGGACCGTTTTACTTTAGGTGATTTAAAGTCTCCTCCAGAAGTGGGGTAAAAAAAAAGATTTGGATAATCTATTATCTGAATGTTTCTTACTCTCATTTTTCTCTGTACTGTGTCCATTAAATCTGGTATAGTTAATGGCAACCACCTTGCCCATAAAGCCAAAATATTCTGTAATCAGCTTTACTATACCAATTTCACGAGTATTCAGCTCCTCAGTCCAGAATACCAATTGTGTGAAAAGTGCAACGAAATCCAATTCACTTTTGATTGCAGTGATCTGAACCAAACACCAAACCTAGTTGATCCAAGATGATCTGTTCTTTATCATTTTGTGCATTACGTGATCTGCACGCCCAAAACAGGAGTACCTTTGAATTTAACATATTTTCCTTTTCAGAAAACAGAATTCTTTTAATTAAAAACATTTTTAAAAAGTTCAGTATGTGTAATTGTTAACACCTGCTATGTGTTACCAACAGATGTTTTTTACTTACCTAGGGGAACTGTTATAATTATTCTATAAGCTTATTGGAATGGCATTTACCAAGATAGCTGGAAAAGTTTAGTTGGTGACTTTGTATATAATATTTGCTATTTCTTTAAATCTCTTCCCCTATTGCTGTCAATCACCACCAACTCACCCTAACCCAGCCTACAAAAAGCAAAATGTCATTTTGGGGTAGCAAAATGTTTACAAAGCTGGCAATGATCATGCATATTTTAGTCTTCATGAAAAGTTACTAAAATTAAATCATATGTATACTGAAACCGTCGTAAATTTATTTCTAACTGTTTTAGCAGCTAATCCTTATAGTGTTCAGCATGGCA